AATACTGGGCCAATGAAGAAAGTAAGACGAAAATGAAAAGATTTCCTCAAACATATGAAAATGGAAACAAAACGCACCAAAACCTATGGGATACAGCAAAAGCACTGCTAACAGAGAACTTTACAGCAATAAATGCCTACATCAAAAAAGTAAAAAGATTTTAAATAAGCAATATAATGAAATGACTGAAAGAACCTGAAAAGCAAGAACAAAACCCAAAATTGGTAGAAGGTAAAAGATAATAAAGATCAGAGCACACGTAAATAAAATAGGCTAAAAAATTCAAAGGATCAATTAAACGAAAACTTGTTTTTTTTTTTTTTTTTTTTTTTTTTTTTGAAAAGATGAACAAAGTTAATAAACTTTCAGCTAGACTAACAAAGAAAAAAAGAGACAGGATCCAAAAAACAAAATCAGGAATGAAAATGAAGACATTACAACTTATGCCACAGAAATATATAAGATCAAGATTTTAAGAACAACTACATGCTAACTAACAGGAAAACCTAGAGGAAATGGATAAATTTCTGGACACATGCAACCTTCTAAGATTGAATCAGGAAGAAACAGAAAATCTGAACATACCAAAAGCCAGTAATGAGATTGAATCTGCAATAAAAAGTCTCCCAACAAAGAAAAAGCCAGAATTGGATGACTTCACTACCAGATTCTACCAAACGTGTAAAGAAGAACTAATATAAGTTATCCTTAAGTATCCCAAAAAACTGAAGAGAAGGGAATTCTCTCTAACTTGTTCTACAAGGCTAGCATTACCCTGATACCAAAATCAGAGAAGAACACAACAAAAAAAGAAAACTACAGGTCAATATCCCTGATGAACATAGACATAAATATCCTCAACTAAAAACTAACTAAGTCCAACAGCAGGATTGAGTGTGGTGGCTCCATGCCTTGTTTTGCTGTGTTTCCCAGGCTAGTCTCAAACTCCTGGGCTCAAATGATCCTCCTGTGGGAAGCCAAGGCAGGCAGATCATTTGAGCCCAGGAATATGAGAGCAACCTAGGAAACATGGCAAAACTCTATCTCTACAAAAAATACAAAATTAGTCAAGTGTGGTGGTGGCTTATACCTGTAGTCCCCGCTACTCAGGACGCTGAAGTGGGAGGATCACTTGAACCCAAGAGGCTGAGGCTGCAGTGAGCTACGATTGCACCACTGCACTGAAAGCCGGGTGACAGAGCAAGACCCTGTCTCAAAAAACTAAAAAAAAAAAATCCTACAACAGATCAAAAATATAATATACCACGATCAAGTGAAATTTACCTCAGGAATGCAAGCATGGTTCAACATATGTAATAAACACGATACATCACGTCAACAAAATGAAGGACAAAAACCATATAGTTATCTCAATCGATGCAGAAAAAGCATTTGATAAAATTCAACATCCCTTCATGATAAAAACTCTCAACAAACTAGGTGTAGACGGAACACAACTCAACATAATAAAATCTATATATGACACACACAGCTAACATCATACTGAACGAGGAAGAGTTGAAACTCTTTTTTCTAAGCACTAGAACAAGACAAGGATGCTCACTTTTATACTCTGATTCATCATAACTGAAAGCCCTAGCCAGAGCAATCAGGCAAGAGAAAAAAATGAAAGCCATCCAAATTAAAACATAGAAGTCAAATTGTTCCTGTTTGCAAGCAACATGATCTCACATTCAGAAAAAAATCAAATGATTCCACCAAAAACTCTTAGAACTGATAACCAAATTCAGTAAAGTTTTAGGATACAAAATCAGTAGTGTTTCTATACATCAATAATGAAGTACCTGAGAAAGAAATCAAGAAAGCAATCCCATTTACAATAGCTTTAAAAAAAAAAAATACTTAATGATAAATTTAACCCTGGAGGTGAAAAACCTCCACAAGGAAAACTACAAAACACCAGTGAAAGAAATTGGAGAGGGCACGAACAAATGAAAATATATTCTATGCTCATAGATTGGAATAATTAATATTGTTAAAATGATCACACTACCCAATGCAATTTCTATCTAAATATCAATGTTATTTTTCACAGAAACGGAAAAAAAATCCTAACATTCATATGGAACCAAAAAAGAGCCCAAATAGCCAAAGCAATCCTGACCAAAAAGAACAAAGCTAGAGGCATCACACTATCTGACTACAAAATATATTACAAGACTAAAGTAACCAAAACAGCACGGTATTGGTATAAAACAGACACATAGGCCAATGGAACAGAATACAGAACCCAGAAATAAATCCAAACATTTACAGTCATTGGATTTTTGACAAAGACACCAAGTACACACACTAGGGAATGGACATCCTCTTCAATAAGCAGTGATGGGAAAATTGAATATCCATATGCAGAAGAATGAAACTGGACCCCTATCTCTCACCATATACAAAAATTAACTCAATATGAATTAAAGACTTACATATAATCCCCCAAATGATATAACTACTAGAAGATAACATAGGGAAAACAACTTCCAGACACTGGTCTCTAGGCAATGATTTTATGGCTAAGACCTCAAAAGCACAGGCAACAAAAACATAAACAAGTGAGACTACATGAAATAAAAAAGCTTCTGCACCGCAAAGGAAACAATCAACACACTGAAGAGACAGTCTGCTGAAAGGAAGGAAGTATTTGTAAACTATTCATCCAACAAGGGACTAATATCCAGAATATACAAGGAACTCAATTCAACAGTAAGAAAACAACCCCATTAAAAAGCAAAGAACATGAATAGATGTTTCTCAAAAGAAGACACACAAATAGCCAACATATCTATGAAAAAAATGCTCAACATCATTAATCATCCAAGACATGCAAATCAAAACCACAATGAGATGTGATTTTATTTCAACTAGAATAGCTACTACTAAAAAAAAAATAAATAAATAACAGATGCTGGTAAAGGGAGCTATTACACTTTGTTGGTGAGAATGTAAATTGGTACAGCCACTAGAGAAAACACTATGGAGATTTCTCCAAAAACTAAAAATAGAACTACCATATGATCTAACAACCCCACTACTGGGTATTTATTCAAAGGAAATGAAATTGTTATATCAAAGGGATATCTGCACCCCATGTTTACTGTAGCACTACTCATAATATCAAATATATGAAATCAACCCAAGTGTCCATCAATGGATGAATCAATAAAGAAAATGTGGTGTATACACATACAATGGAATACTATTCAACCATCAAAAAAGAATGAAATCCTACCATTTTAAGCAACATGAATGGAACCATGGGTTCCATGTTAAGTTAAATAAGGCACAGAATGACAAGTTTCACATGTTCTCACTCCTATGTGAAAACTAAAAAAGTTGATCTCACAGAGAGTAGAATGATAGATACCAGACACTAGGAAGGTTGTATGGGTAGGAGTGGGGGGATGAAGAGAGGCTGGTTAACTAGTACAAACGTATAGTTAGATGGAAGGAATAAATTATAAAGTTCAACAGCAGAGTAGGGTGGCTATAGTTAGCAACCATTGTTGTATATTTCAAGTTAGCCAGAAGAGAGGACTTTCTTTCCCAACACAAAGAAATGATAAAGACTCAAAGTGATGGATATCCTAAATATACTGACTTGAACATTATACATTCTATCCATGTAATAAAATATCACATGTGCCCCAAAAATATGTATATATATTATATATCAATTTAAAAAGAGTCAACCCAAAAATCAAAGGGTAAAGAATCTACTTTTAAAATTTTAACTGATTATTAAATAAGTTATTATTTCCCCAATTGACTTTATGGGGTCTATCATTAAAATTATATCAATAATAATATTTAAATTATATTAGTAGTAGCTAATTAAATTTCCCAATTTTTATTTGGCAAAGACATATGCAGTGTCTAGTCATAGTTTCTAACCAGCATGATATAGCAGGTTTTGTTTTTTTTTTTTTTTTTAAACTGCAGGTAAAACAGAAAAGCTGGGAGATTCATGTGCAAGTACCATCAACTAGAGGTGCTGACTTTAAGACTTCCTTTTCTTAAAGTTCAGGAAGAATAGTTTAATGACAAGACATATTAGGGAAGCCACAGTGCTCTACTATTATATTGAAGGAAGGTTAGCTCCCCATCTAGAATGGAGCAAGCAACAAGCAATTTGTCTCTGTCATCATTCTGCTTGGCCAGTCTCTAAGTGAGTTGAGCTTAGAGAAGCTACTACAAGCAACAAGGAAACAAAAATTGTTATAAAACAATATTTTTAAAGTTCTAGGAAAATATTTATGCAGATTTTTAAATGTTCTTCTCCAAATAAAGTAACAAGAAATAAGGAAATGAAATACATCGGTACATCTTAAGAAATATTATTTCTCAAACTTTAATATCTGTCCACTGTTACCTCCAATTTCAGCACTTACATATTTTTGACACTGTGCAGTAGTGACACAAATTTCACAGTATTTTATTTCACATGAACAGTATATATCTGGGTTCAATAGTAACTATGTCAAAATATCTACTTTCTTTAATGCTGAAAGACTATTCCATCTTTATATGTCATCGACGACAGCTGTGTCTTCCAAACTTATCTGATCATGAGCTTCATCTAGGTGTTTATTAAATGCAAAGTCCCAAATCCCATTCCCTGTTGATTCTTAATTCGTAGGTCAGAATGGAGCTAGGGAATTGGTATTTTTAACAAGTATCTCATGATACTGATCACTCATCACCACGCAAGAGTTAGCAGGTACTGACCAAAGCACAATTTTAAAGGACAACTCAACATAGCTGATTTGAAATTCTTTTCTAAAAATACTTGAGAAATGCTGGAGGCCTGAAGACAATAATTCATTACTGATATCAACTTTATCTCAGTTTGTCACCAACAAAGAACTTTATACTAATTTAAGACCACAAGAAACTACAGCATAGCTTTCCACCTTCTCAACTCTTGGATCTTTTTTCCCTCCCTCCCTTTCGTCCTTCCATCCTTTCCTCCTTCCTTCAACACCTACCTGAGTTCTTCTCTCACTTCCACAGCATTATTCCCTGCTATCACAAACACATCATTCATGTCATCAGTCAGCATGTTGCAGGCATAACCGATGTTGATGGCAGTTTCTAAAACAAAATAAAGCCCAACTCAGTTAAAATGTTACTTAATAATGTAAGTCCATTTTTAATGAAAGTTTTGAGGGCTTAGCTGTATTTTCTTACAGCCTATAGGCCCTCTCAAATTTACTACTTGCTAAACCCATGCCCAAGTAGCAACAGCAACAAATGTGCAGCCTTCTCATCTAGTTTTCAGAAAAACCTTTTCATTCCCAAATTAGCACTCATGAAAATACCTTAAGATCTTGTGACATAATATGTACAAATATAAAACCTTTGACCAGAAGTCCAAATACTGTCTTGGGAGAGCTAAACTACTAAACTTAGCCAATATTTAATTCTGATATGGAAGACAATTTGAAGGAAAAAAACTCACAAAATGTTCAGTTGAATGAAAAAAACAATGGTCTTACAAAATTTTTATAGTTCTCTCAAACACAACCTTGCCATTTTCCCATTAAATATATGGAAGTTTGGAATTTGACTATCATCTCAAAAACCACCCAGCACTGTTCTCCTAGAGAACTGGAGAATCAGATGGTGTTACATAATTCTTCCTCTAATTTTATAGAAATGGAACCTAAGATAATCAGATAACTCCTTCTATCTGATAGAGTTATTTGATTGTCTCTAACAGTACAGAATAATTAGACTGTAGCTAATTCTGTGGAATCATTAGTTTTATCCCAAATTAAGGAAGGTAATTGATAAAATCTCAGCATATACCTTGTATAAACCACAGAAATTAAAGCTAAATAATAGTAAATTCATGGATATTTGTAATAATAGAACAGCTGTAACTGACCAAAATCAAACTCTAGAGAGTTTCTATCTAGTAACACACCCAAGTGCTCAACTTTCTACTGTTTATTTTTTGTGGCCAATGATTTGGATAAAGATGTAGAGAACTGATTTATCACATCTGCAAATCCTCTAATGCTGTAAAAAAATACCTAATAAGTAGATAGAATTTTAACACAGGTGTGTGCCAGTTAATTGAATATTTTCAGTTTACAAATAGCCAAGCATAAAATCATTTTTGTTTTAATCATTACTGCTAGCAGTAGATCAAAAACATGTTGGTTCCCTTTTCTTTCATAGGAAATGTAGTAGAACATGATGACTCACTAATGATTTGGCATTCTGTCAAGCCTGAAAGTCAATGAATTCTCACTGTACCTTGTATAGATAGTCCTGGAATTCAGCCAGGTTGCACTATTACAGCCGTAGTAGCCTTATTAAAATACCAAAATATTTATATAAATGGTTGATAAACAGCTGTTTCCCTGAGCTTCTTCAAAGTGTTCCCATCACCCTGACACCTGCCCTAAGATCCTTCAAATTCCCCACCATCAAGAAACTAAAGGAGTAACCCAAGGTCTCCAATATCCTGCTTCAGTTCTGTGCCAATATCTGTCCTGACTGGGGACAGTGTTCACATAAACCAACTGTTAAACATTCTTAATACCATTGTTGCCTCTAGGTATAATGACTATATTCAAGAGGCAATTGGACTGAAACTTAGCTGATCCCAGCTTATACTATGGAAGGCATTTTGTTAGTTTGGTTTGTTTTAAAATAGATTCTTGCAATACATTAACTTTCTTTTCTCTATTTCAAGTCTTTCCTATGTGGAAGATACGATGAATAATTAATTAACCTTTCTGGTTAATTAAAATTTTGTGATATAAGTCATCTCCCCATTTTCAAAATATCATCATCATCCATTTTCAAGTTACCTTGTTTGTCTCCTGTTAGGACCCAGATCTTAATATTGGCTAGTGATAAACTTGTAACTGTTTCAATAACACCCTCTTGTAACTTATCTTCTACAGCAGTGGCACCTAGTAGCTTTATTGAAAAACAGAGAAAAACTTATGTTAATGCATGCAAACAACATCTATAACATCTACGATTTCACTCACAGAGTTTGGAAGCCAAACAATATGAATTGAAGACAGAAATTATGATACTTTGATATAGCAGGCAACCTATTTTGTGTGAAAGTGGGTTGGGAAGGACTCCAAAAGGAAGCTCCCAAATCAAGCCAACTTAACAGCAGAGATCCTGGGAGTTATTATTTACCTGAAGGGGTGGATATGCTCAGATAACATGTTAGCGTGAGCAGTAAGAAGCCATTTGGACTTAAGAACTCCCTAGCTGCTTCCCCACTTATATCAACAGCTGAGGGGTCCAAAGAACAGCCTTCATTCCATTGTCAGGAAGCTGATCACAAAAAGTCTAGTCATTCTTCTACATTAACAAACAAGCAGATGCCATAAACTAAAGTGAAGGTTCCTGCACGATTTTTCATCGAAAGATGAACAAAGCATACTCTCCTGGCCACTGGGGCTTCAGGTAAGAGTGGTTTTTAGAATAGACCATGCTCTGGATAGCACAGATATCATCAGAATCTCATGGCCTAGGATGGTTTAGAGCTGTAGCCCCATTCTTCACAGCAAATTTCTCTGCTCTCAAAAGGTGGATCATAAAAAAAGGAGAAAAATTAAAATCCCATAACATCAAGGACACATCAGAGGTTGACAAAGAATAGGGAGCCTACTATCTTCTACTCTTGGGAAGCTTCCAATTGCTTAAGCTACTGCTAATAGAAATACAGTTCTAGGCTCTCTAGGACCATACGTGGAAAACTCAAAGCCAACCTATAAAGCATGATTCAGTAATTGAAAGAGAAACATCTGCTGTGTGCAAGATGATTTAGCCAATGGCTTATTCCTATGCTAAATCTCTAAACACATATTATCTTTCCTGTAAACACAAATCATCATGCTTCTAAACTCATACCATCAAATCTCTTTCAATTTCTTCATACAACCCAGCTATTCGTTCATCCCTCTCTTCTGTGGCAGCATTCGCATCTTCAAGCATCTTATGCCACTCTTTAAAGTACTTGTCATCCAGGTCTCTGTGTGCAATGGCCAAGGTCCGAAGGCCTTCCCCTGCAAATTCCTGCCACAGATGACATAGACTCATGAACCATCAAAGAAACAATAAGCACAGAAATAACAACAACAAAAATAATTGGTAAGAAATGTTCCACTCAAATTCATTTTGTCCTAAGAGCACTGCTTGGCTATCCTTACTCTCAACTGTTTAGTCTCCTCAGAAATGGGAGATAATGTATGTATTTTCCGTTTTATTTCTATGAGGTTAAAACATGCAGGGGAGCAAGACTTCCCCCTAAAGACAGTTGAAAAGCCCGCTGAAGTATCCTAGTTGAGAGGTGATCAATGACACCCATGACTTGAGATACTCATTTATGGCAATACATATTTGTTTCCAATCTGTCCTTTACAGAAGGAAGCATTTCTGGCCATGAGAGGGACCCAGTGTGTTTTATGGACCTCAGCTTTCAGTGAAGAGGAAAGGACCCTTGGAGAAGCCATAGTTCTCAAATCAAAGGCAGGAGGCTCTCTCCAGGAACCACAACATGACATCCCACCAAAGTCTTGTCACATTCCCCCTAGTGATATGCTATGCCTAAAACTAACTGAATCCTACTTTTGTATATGCTTGAAAATTTTCATAATAAAAAGCTAAAAGTAAATAATAAATAAATAAATAGATGTTAAATAGTCAGATATTAGAAGTTTAAGCATATTACTTAAGGTTATAACCATAACTTCTAGGGCAAAAGGGGAGAGAGAGGAAGAAAAGCTAATATAAGTGGTTGCTTCTGGGAAGCAGGACTAAATACGGAGGCTGACCTTCACTTTTCATTCTAGACTCCTCTGTGAAACTTTTTATTTTTTGCTATATTAAAGTTTTATCTTAATAATAATAAATTGTTTGCAATTTTAAAGACACCATCATCAAGTCAGCTTAGTGCAAAAAATAGTGTTATTTTTAGTCAGCTTAGTGCAAAAAATAGTGTTATTTTTAGAAGCTATATTCTATGAACTTAGTACTAAATTAGTCATACTGATAGGGGAACCACACTCTTCCTTTATCCTGTATCCTGACAATCTCAAACACCACCTCTGGTGCTTTATCCTAACAGTAGGGGAAAAGAAATAGAGGAGACTGGTAGTTGCTAAGTGTCTCACACAGCCATGGTAACTAGAAACATATGCAGATTGCTTTGGGGGAAATGCTCAAAAACTCCCATTCCGCTTGTGCCTCCAGTGGTCATTTTATGGGCCTCTACACTGCAAATAAAGCATTTTTATGGCCATTTCTGCTCCTTTGGGCATTGCCATTGAGTATGTCTCCTCTGCGGTGTTTTGGCTTATATAGGTTTATAACCAGGCGTAGGTTAAACCGTGACATACTGTAATTAGGTAAATAGAAAAGTCAATGCATACTGCAATGAGATGGTTTTCCCCAGACAGATCTTGAGAAAAATTATCCAAATTTATTTAGTAGGCAATTGGTAGCACTTTGGATATTGGAATCACATTTTGCAAGCCCTGCCTTTCAAGACTACCACTGGATCCCCTACTGATCTGAAAATCTAGTTACTGTCTTGTAATGATCTTTTGTCCTCTTAATTCACACAAACCCTTTTTTGCCTTTAACTTACAACCCCACTGGGCATTACCACTGCCTTCCTCTCTGTTCTGCACAAAAGTGAATGAACAATAAGATGACATTACAAAAGGAAACAGATGATTAAGTTATTTAATTAGTGCATGAAACACAAATTCAATCCTAAATGAGCCTTTGATTAAGGTCTTTTCCTATCATTAAACAATTCAAAATCAGTAATTAAATAAACATTTAGGACCTCAGAATCTAGAAGTCAAAATGAACAAAGTGAATGAAGCAAAGAGCAAGTCAAATTTATATTACCTGAAAAAAAATTATTTTGCAGAGAAATGTAAAAAGACCAAATTAGGCTTCCTATAGTTTAGTATCAAAGGAGAATATATGAAAACCCAGGGCCTTGGTGTTTGAGTAATGGCAAAAAGTCAGATACTTATGATTCCAGTGTTGTTTTCATTAAAAAAAATTTTAAAGACCATGCTGGCCTCCTGGAAAAGATTAAAAGAAAATCAAGAATTCTCTATTGGAAAGACAAAAACAATAGCTATGTTTGTAACCAATATTACTAAACCATCATTTTTTAAATTTAAAGTAAAGCAGAGGATTTTTTATTTTATTTGTTTATTTGCTTTTTAAAGATTCAGGGAATGTTTTGTATTAAATATAGGGTCTGACAAAGAACATGAATACTCAATAACGTCTTAAAGGAAAGAAACCAATGAGAAAATGCGAGTTTTGACCAGATGGCCTTAAATGAAACCACAGACAAATATTAGAGACACACGTGAATCTCAGGTTTAAAACAAGTAATGCTCATATTAATTCACATTCCGTTACTTTTTGGCATTTAACAGAAAAGTGCCAAAAATCACCCTTACTTCTTTCAGAAAACTTTTGTAAAGAAATTATGCTGGTCTCAGAATACACAAAGTGGGTGTCTGAGGGCACACAAGGGACTCATCATGATTTACAACCTGAATAAAAAGACCCTTAGAGGAGAAAGTGTGCACCAGAGACTATTTTCCTCTCACAATCTAAACACAGCCCTAAACTTTCCCTGGGAGTAATCATAAGATATTCCACTGGTACCAAACACATCAGAACCCAAGGAAAAGGAGCTCTCTGGCTCCTCTTTCCAGAACTAGTCCAGTCTTCCAAGAGGAGCAACATGAAGCTGCAGGGGAGTTACAGCAGGTTCCCCAGACGCCCGCATTCTGTGGCTACTGCTCAGTTGCTGTGTGTTCCTCCACCTATAGTGAGACTGACTGGACTTCCAACAGGGCAGAACGCGGGGGTCCTTGTGCCAATTTCCAGACAATCATTGGCACAGCTTCCTGTGGAACCACTCTCCAGATGCTTTCTATTTCTGTAGTCAAATCATTTAGCTGCTATTTTTCTAAACAGGACCTAACCATAGGAGATGGCAAAAGGGCCATTGTGCTAACCTTAAGACGGAGGCACTTACACTGAGGTGGTCTGACGTCAAAGAGAGAAGGACTTCATTGGAAGGATGAAGTTTTTCAAACAGAATAGTATCTGCTCCCTTGGAGTAAAGCTTTATCTGTCCTTCCGGGTTTCGAACTGAAAAGAAAAAAGTTTGGAAAAGCAGATTATAATCAATGACATACATCAAAATTAGACTCTCCCAGGCCTCCAGCCTGGCAGTTTGGAAATGGGCATAATGTTTTAGCCAGTAGTAAGACACTCAGTGCCTTTGGTTAGGTCATTATCTAAGTCACTTGGCTTTATTCTCACTTATTAACTTAGAAATGCTCCATCTACTGGAATCTTTGATTTCCCAAATTCAGAAACAAGTGTTTTTATTCTGAAGCATATGACCCTCCTGTTTCCCTTGCTTACTATTTCCGAAGGGTTGATACATCTAAATTAAGTCTTCATCTCCATATTGAGCAGAATTGAGAGCTTTATTTGCCCGTCTCCTAGCGTGAAATTCAAGACCTGCTGTTCAAATCAATATCAGTGTTATGCCAAATCATCTCCATATGCAATTCTAGCCATTCAAAGTCATGGTTTATACATTTTTTCTTGGCCCTTGCTGATATATTTCTTCATCCCTTTTACTCTGGAAAAGTCCATTAATTATTGGTGGTTCATTGTTGGGTCACAAATTCTCGCTGAAAACACACTTCACAGAGGGGCTTTTAAAAATAAAGTCTATACCTCATTCCCACTGGAAGTCTATATCAGTAGTACTGTGTTTTTAACCTGCCCCACAGGCTTGAGATTGACAGCCCTTCCTAGGCTACCCTCAACTTCATTCCCAACCACAACTCCCAGCATATTGCTGTTAGACAAACCTTTCTTTCAAACCACAGAACACTTGGCCTAACTTTGTAGGTTTAGTTGTACAGCTTGACACATAGTAGCCAGTTAATAATTATTCGTTGAATGAATGAATGGCATGACTGTGTATTTCTTCCCAGAACTGCCTACAACTTAAGACAACTGCCTTTGTCACAACTTCATGATCTGAATACTCTTACCCTCGCAGGCTTCATCGGTTGAGTCAACGATCATTACACGCTTTCTACTCAATTATCCCTTTTCTCTATGAAGAGGATGCCTCAAAAAAGGTTAATATAAATGTTTACTATTAATTACTATTAATGTAATGCCATAGAAAATGGCATACAAAATTTAGAGCTTAGTTTAAAAAAATATAAAAACCAAAATACAATGTTACCCTCCCCTCTATCCCTAGTCAACACTTATCTATTCTAGTTTCCTCCCAGCTTGCATAGATCTAATAATGTATCCAAGAAACTTTTTAGGACTGGGCCTTGTCTAGGTCTTGTCTTCTGTTTTAAGAGCCTTTGTTAGTTTGCCTAAGTGCCAGGATTCATTTGGGTTTCCTTGTACTCTAGCTCTAATCCCCTACATTGGGGAAAAAGAGAGAGAAAAACATATGCAATTTATCTAATTGTTAAACCAGGGGGGAAAAGCTTAATCCTGGGAAAGACTTTCTCTTGATTTTCTTGTACAATAATCCAATTTAATAATTTCCCTTATATTTTCTCCCTTCCATCACCAGAGGTATAAAGGCAAAGGATGAATAATCCACATTTGCCTGTATTTTGTATACTAGACTAGGACATTAGTTCTCTAACTTATGGTCTCAGGACCTTATTTATAATTCTTCAATGCTGAGTGAGGATTCTAAAAAGTTTTTTAGTGAGTTTTATCTATCAATATCCATATTAGAAATTAAAAATGAGAAATTTTATTATATCAAGTTTTATAACACTAGTTACTATAATTATTATTATAAATCTAACATATAAACATAAGTAACATTTCTACAAAAAAACTATATTTTCCAAAAAACATTAGTTTGGAGATTGGCATTATTTTACATGATTACAGATCTTTGTAACACCTAGTTTAATAAAAGAGGGTTGGATACCCATATCTGTTTCTGCATTCATTCTGTTGTGACATCACATGTCATGTGGCTTCTGCAAAACTCCATGGTATACTCATGAGAAAAAGAATGAAAAAGACAAATAATAGTCATATTATAATGAAAATACTTTTGTCCTTGTGCATCCTCCAGAAAACTCACAAAGTTCCCTAAGGTTCCCTGGACCACACATTTAGAGTCACTGGTCTGGAAGAATCACAGACTGATTGTGATTTGTGTAAACCCCTTACCATTGCCATATCTCAGTTTCTACATGTAAAAAGGAGATGTTTAAACAATCTAACTTCAAAGGTCCTTTACAGCTGTACAATTTTCTGATTCAATAAATGCTTTCCATCCCTGATACTTTCTCTTAACCTAGTATTTGTCCCTTTAAATTTGATTTTGTGTAAAACCAATTTCATAGAATCCTGCTTAAGTTTACTCATTAAACATTTGCTTTAGCAGCAAGTTTTATATCTCTTTCCTTCCAAGTCTTCTGGTCATTTCTGTTCAAAGTTAATTAAATCTAAGTCATTTCAGAAATTAGTATTTCTTAAATAAACTAAAAAAGGACATAGTTTTAAATGGTCAAAATAACATATGGCCAGAACTTGGACAAAGATTACAGTTTTTAGGTTATAAAACCTTCTCCCGATGCTTTCCATTTAAACATTAGTGTTCTTCAGAGATTTACTCGGGGTCTTTTTTCATCTTCCCATCCTTCATACTGTCCCTGGGCAACTGCATTCATTTCTATGGCTTCAGGTTCCATCACCAGGCTGTTTTCAAATGTGTACATCCTGTCCAATCCATCTCTAGCACTCCATTCGGACCTGCACATCCGACCACCAATTGAACATCTTTTGGATATGCCCAGTCACACCAAACTCACACTAGACATATTACCCTCCTCCAATAATTAGCTACTCCTCTTATATCCCCAGTCTCAGTAATCAGCTTCACCATCCACTCAGTCTCCAAAACCAGAAATCTGGGCATCACTCACAATTCTCCCTCCACCAACCACACATCTAAGGGAAGCCATGGATTTCTCTCTGCCACTTCTCTCTTGCCTAGAAAATCACCTTAACCTAACTGGTTTTACCCATTCCAGGACTGCTTCCTTCCAGACTCTTCCGTATATTCCAGCTACAGTTATCTTCACGCTGCTGCTTAGAATGATGCAATAGCTTCCCTCTCCCTTCTATGAAGTTTGGACTCCTTGACAAGGCATATAGAGCTTATTAAGAGCTGGGCTATCCAGTCTGTTTCACCATGTTCTCTTGGATGCAGCCACATAGAACTACCTTTCAATTTTTCACATTCTCCCCTAGCCTGAAGGCCCTGGAACATAGTGGGCACTTAAATCAATATTTACTTAATTAAGATGAACCAACATTGTGCACAATTTATCAAAAGCAGAAGCTATGCCTTTGTGATGTAAAGGAAAGAAAAATGTCACAAATGGCTTCCAGTTAATCACAACAGCAGCACTGTGAAGGGTGGTAAATAATTCTATTTTGCCATATCGCAGCTGTTCATACATCTACACAGAGAAATGCCTGTCACATGACAGTGTGATGTGTACTATGATAATCTCGAAAAAGTTTAGAGTTGAGCAACTTTTATCTGTAAGATCTTGTAAGAGCCTTCCAAGAAGCTTCTTGTAATTTATTCTTCTTTAATGGTTATCTGTCACTTGTTCCTGTTAATAGCTATCTCTGAATTTTATCTCTGTATTTCTATTTACAGAATTAGTAGAATTGATCCTTCCAAAACTATTTGTATTTTTTATTTTTATATTTTTCATTTATATTTTCATTTATATTTTTTACTAATATAGCAGATTCTGTTCTCTCTGGAAAAACATCCTTTATAGAAATCAATTTTTATGTAGATACTTCTGACTTAAATCAGGGCTCTTTCTTCAGAATGATAGTACTACTGGTATTGAAATTATACATTGATGATTTAGTGAATAATGGCTCCCACCCACAAAACAAGGAAGCAGAAGAAGGAGGAGGAGAAAGGGGAGGATCAGCAGTAACAGCAGCAATGCCTCAGCCTTCGCATCAGGGTGTTGTTCCTGCAGACCAACCCATGTGATGATCATGAGACTAGGATTGTTTTTGGACTTGTTATCATGCCAAGACTTTTCTGCCCTTGCAGAGTTCCTTTAAAATTCCTCCCGAATAAAAACCAAACAGAATAAAAATAAATCCAGCAAACCTTCATGCATTCTGTGGTAGAGCACTACCTTTCCTCATATGGGATCCATTAAGGCAAACATCTGATGTTTGCGGTTAGGCTGTGATTTCTCCACAGCCTGTAATGGTGACCAATGCTGAGGAAAAGCCAAACATCTCCCTGTGTAGCAATTTTAGGTTTTTGTCAACACCCTCAGAGCAAAAAGAAACCAACTCTGGGACAAACCAACATCAATAACACCTCCCCTGAGGCTACAAATAGAAGATAGCTCCTGCTGAGACAACATTAAGCCATCACCTAGAATGGCATGAGTGCTCATCAGTGGCACTGGTCATCACCAACAGGCACTGGACTTCCCTGTTGTCAAAAAAATAAAAATAAACATTCTCAGATGTTGTTTGGTTTTTACCTGCTGAGAGCCATCTTTCAAGGCTAGTTTCTAGTAGTTAGAGACCAAAAATCCTACTGTCATGTATATATACTTTTTACATAGTAAGAAATTGATTAAATACAATGAGTAAGATATTCATAAGTTACAAAGTGTTGGGTTGAGTAGTATTTCACAAACATTTATAGAAAACCTATCATGTGCCAAGCTCTGTACTTCGCCTTGGGCAGTTCAAGAAGACTAAGGTATAGCACTTGCCTCAGGTAGCACACAGTTTAATGACTGGGATAGTTGTGAGTGTCATGGAACTAATATCACACTGGTGTTATAAACAAGGCATTCTGGGGAAGACAGAGGAACGTGGTCATTTGGAGAAGAGAAAAAGAATTGAAAAGTGGGTAACATTTGAATTGGACCTTACCAGATGAGTAGTAGGGAACATTTCCAAGAAAAGTGGGGGAAAGGAATATTCAAGATCAGGGAACAGCATGTCCAAAGGGTGTAACAGCAACAATGCATCCAGGGATGGTGAAGTCTAGTTGAGCTCAAAGTTTTGGAAAATAGAAGAAAAGTAGGTTGATACCAGATTGCAAATAATTTTGCACATCATACTAATGACTTTTCTTTTAAGGTTTGGGAAGCCACCTATGCTTTTTAAGTAGCGGGTAGTAAAATCAGGCCTATGTTTTAGAAAGAATACCCTGGTGACAGCATAGAGGATTATTTTTAAAGCAAATAATTTTGAAGATATTACAATAATACAAGCAAGCAGTGGCAAGAACCTTAACTAAGGCAGGGCACTGGGAATTAGGAAAAAAGGACAAAAAGCTTTTATTATTAAAAAGGGGTTTATGAGGCTATTTTAATAAATATTATTCTGATGCCTCTGAGGAGAGACTTAGAAACAGGTGACAACAGAGTATTCTAGAGATGTTAAGGCCTGAGAGTGGAAGAGAAGGAGATGGGTTAGAGAAATGTCTCAAACATCTCTGGGGAAAATAATGGATAGTATTTGAGGATCTATTAGTCTAGAGAAGTGGTCCCCAAAATGTGGTTCCCTGACCAGAGGCATTAATATCACCTACAAGCTTGTTAGAAATGCAAATTGGTGGGCCCTCCTCAGACCAGCTGAATCAGAAACTAGAGGCTGGGGCCCAGCAGTCTGTGTTGTAACAAGCCCTCCTGGTGATGCTGATGGGAGCTACAGTTTGAGAACCATTAGCCTAGGAGCACAAAAGCTATGGAAAAAAGTGAATGAGCTATAACAGGGCTTAAAAGACCAGACTTTGGAAAACCTGGGTTCACATATTTGATCTGCCTCTTACCCAACTGTGCAACAAGTTGTGTTACAGCTGTATGGCAATCTTTGGCAATCTTGAAAATCTTTGTGTTTAGTCTCCTCTTGTCTTAAATGGGACATGCATGTTACAGGCAGTTGCAACAATTCAGTAAAAGAATTGATGATAAAGTTCATGGACAGGCATACAATGAGAGGTAACCATGAATTTTAATACAGATTATAGAAAGAACTATAGTTGTGAAAAAGAGAGTTCCATATTTGACATAAAACTTTAGGTAACTATAGTACAATCCAGTGATAAGACATAACAGAAGGCGGAAAATGTATGTTTGGACTCTAGCAAGAGATTGAAGCTAAAAAGCTGTATAAGAAGGTCACAGAATATAAGCAATAGCTACCACCATGTATGTGGTCAAGATCATCCAAGAAGAACACAGGAACTAAAAACAGAAAAGGACATCAATACTGAAGAATGGGATGAAGGAGAGTAGTCAGCAAAGGAGCTTGAGAAAGAAAACAATGGGACAAGAAGAGAATCGGGAGCCAGAAAGTTTACAGAGACCAAAACAGGAGTGTCAAGAAAACAGGGCCAACAGTCTCAAATACTACTGTTTTAAAAAATAGAGAGATGAACAGATTAATAAGGAAAAGCCATTGGACTGGGAAGTTACAAGGTGAATGGAAACCTCTGAGAAGGCATTTCTTCTTGAGTAGTGGAAGGAGAAACTTAACCCTAATGGGATGAAAAGAGTAAGAAAGGCAAGAAGCAAAAACTGACCTGAGAAATTAATCTGTGATGGAAAGCAGAAAAATATGGTGGCAAAGTCAGTGGACACCAGAATATGAGCAATATCTTTAAGGAAATAGGAGGATAATACAGTTGTGGACTGAAGGAAGGACCCAGTAATTGAAAAACTGAAGGTGCAAGCAAGAAGGGAGCAAGCAAGGAGGGATAAGGAATGGGACTGAAAAAACTTTCAGCTTTGAAAAGGAAGAAGAGCAACTGTTTTCTGATGCAGGAGAGTAAATTATTAAAGATCTAGCTTGGGGATGAATGGGGAGGATGGGGAGAAGAGTTAATGGTGTGCATTCCTGAGGGCCTTTATTTTCTTAGAGAAATAGGAGATGAATTTAGCTTTCAAGAATAAAGAAGATGGTAGCAGTGTTGAGAACTTGAGGAAATAGCCGAGGTTTACAATATCTATTGTGAAAATGGAAAAAGGCACTAAATATGAATGAGAGAGACATTGACACAGCACTAAGAATCAGCATTGAGTCAGGAAAGCACAGATTTGTTGTGGTGCTAAATACAATATTAGGTGGTCCTCTCCAGCAATGGAGGCGGACAGAGAAAATGAATGATAATGAGGAGGCTGTTGACGATGTTCACAACAACTATCATGTGCCAAGCAATTTAGAAACTCATCCTGAGCCAGTACTGTGTAGTGGACAAGTGAGTGGGCTATGCAGTCAGACTTCCTAGGTCTGAATCTCAGCTATTCTACTTCAATCTATGTGAACCTGGGCAAGTTACTCAACCTTTCTGTGTCTTAGTTTCATTATCTGTTAATGGGTATAAATACAATGTGTCTTAGTTTCATTATCTGTTAATGGGTATAAATACAAGTTCCTACCTTATTAGGATTGCTGGGACAATTAAATAAATTAATTCACAGAGAGCACTTTTGTGGTTTATTTTTTAAAATATTTTATATTTTTATTGATATATTGTACATACTCATATAGGGCATTTAGAACAGTACTGGGCACATAATGAGCACTTGTTAAATGTTAGTTATATGTCACTGCAGTATTGAGGCTAGGTTGAGGAACACAAGAGTTTATACATAAAGTTTCAAAACTATCACAAACCTCAGTATGTAGCCAAAAGTGAAATAATCCTCGAAAAGCATAACCAAAACAGTATGAAAAGATCAAAAATAGTCTCAGCTACCAACCATACCTATGACAGACATCCTTTTTCTGGTGTTGTTGAAATCCAAAAAGGCAAGTAATTGATAAGTAACCAGTGTTCCCAGTTCTTCTATTGTTATGGTCTCTGGGGTCCGGGATTTAAAAATGAACCCAAAATTTCTAGCAGCAGTCACTAGAGCCCCTTCATCAGGTGACTGAACTTGGTAAATCAGCTCTCCTAAAAGGTAAAGAAACAAATATGTCAATACTGACAATAATAGCTAACATTCATAGAGTTCCAATGCCAACTCCAACTCATTATTTAACAACCAACTCAAGCACCAGGGCTAAAAATCTTTCCTGTCCTCAGACCTTTTCTACCTACCAACAGCTCAATCAGGTATCTGTCCTCTGGGACACCAAAGGACTCTATGCATATCACTGCTGTGGCCCTTGTCATCTTATAGGAAAACATCCATTTCCGAGTCTGCCTCTTCACTGTGCTCAGTTTCTTGTATTTTCTGTGACTAGAGATGTGCCATGAATGTTTCATAAACTGAAACATTTTAATATATATTAACTCATAATCCTCTGGGCAGCCTTTGAGGTAGAGATTATTAAAATTATTCTTTCCATTTTGTACTAGTGGAATCTATGACTGAAAGAAGTTACATGAGTTTGATGAGATCACACAGCTAAAGACTGATGGAGAGATACTCCAAATTCTACTTCAATCTGCCACTAATGACCATTTTATGAGAATTCATACAAGAAATCCCTTGAAATGTAAGAAATCAAGGGTGCTAATACTTGTTATCTGATATTACGTGTAGTTGGAGTGGGCATAAGAGGGGAGAGGAGATAAAAAGAATAAAATAAGTTATATGTATATATACATATATAGAGTTTATAAAACAGCATATACAAAGTAAGCCCTTATATAGAATTATAATATATTTATATGTAAAAATTAATTTGAAATTTAATTAGTTTAATGTTTAAAAACTATTAATTAGGCAGAGATAGACCCATATTTCCTGATTTATAGTCATGTCCAAGATCAACTGTTAATTAAACAAGTTGTATATTAATGGCTATACTATGATTTCTTTTTGTTAAAAAGAAACAAATCACCTAAATATATGGATACATTCTTGAATATATGTATATATTTGTGAGCCAGAGGAAAGGGTGAAACGATACACACCAGATGTTACCACTGGTTGCCTCTGTAGGGGTGAGACTGGAGTTCAGGGAAGCTGCCATTAGCTTCACATTTATAAATTTTTGTATTGTATTGTTTCACTAGATACAACAGGCATGAATGAATTTTTGAAATTCACAAAAGAAAAAAAACTTAAAGCAATTACTTGATCTACTCATGAAATAACATAGTATGTTCTACTTTTGGTAACATGGTGAACTGGGTGTCAGGACCAACCTCATCTGCTACAAGCAACTATAAAAGCATTTTAATATTCTTAAATACATTCATGAACTTGCAAGAAAGTAAGACCTGTTCAGTTCAGAGACTGAAAAAAAATACTTATGGGATTAAAGAAGCACATTAGCCAGCATTTGCCTTGAGAGCATTTTTCTGAACCAGGAGAATTTGATCATTGGTTTTCAATGTCTCTGGGCTTTAATTTAAAAAGGCATAGCCCAGTACCCGTCTAAGGTGAGAGTCCAATGAAAGATGGCCTCTCAAAATTGGGTACCCCAAAGACTGCTCTCAATATAAGGGTAAACTGGATACCCATGCCCCCTTGAAGAGGGCTTGGAATAAAACTTGCCTAACTAGAACTTTCCTTATAATTGGAAGGGAAAAAAATATCTGCCGAGAATTTATGATCAAACACTGACTCTCATTTAAACTTGTATTCTGAATTCACAATATCTAGGTGGCCTAAAAGAAATCAAGTTGAAACTTTAGTTTAAAATGTTCCTACATCAGAACATTGAAGCAAATGTAAATCCTTTCTGGAGGAACCGACTGGACCCAAAAACTTTATATAAATTAAGTTCAAAGTAAAATGGTCAGCTCACAGTGAAAAGTATAAAACAACAACAAGGAAAGCCTAAGAACCAACAGAAACAACACAGAATAAGATCTGGAAAAAAAAAATTAGATATTGGAAGTATCAGAAACAGTACATGCAATATATTTAACAGATTTTAAGAAACAAAATTGAGATATAAAATTAAACAGATTTGAGAAAGAACCAGAGACCTTGTAGGAAGAATTAGTGGGCTGAGGAAAACATGTCAATGGAATAGATTAGGTTCAACTAGGGCAAGAAGCCAGTTCACTATACCATTATCTACCTGTCTCACAGCTTCAAAATGTTAAGTGGCCCAGCTGGTTTTGTTCTATCCTATGAACCCTGAGTTCCAAACAACCATCTCACAAGTGTGAGGACTTTCTCATAATGGAGACTAAATAAGACTATTCTAATATCAAGGCAATTTATCTCTGTTACTGGAAAAATTCATTCTAAGCATATGCCTGAAGGTCATCTGCATCGATTATAAATGCATACTAATAATGAGAGATGTGTGACTCAATTTTATTTCGCTATTTGTCCTGGCTACCCAGAAGCTCACGGTCAAATGTGGTGCTCAATTGTAAGAACAATGTCATCCCTTGACTAGCATATTTGGGTCCTCACTTTTCCATTGTTCTTATTTCTTTCCTTTTTCATTTAAATCTCTCCACATTTTTTCAAAACATATGACATATAAACTATGTCCTATCTTTAACTTGAAAATCCTTCAAATTTAACATCAATTTCTGTGTTAAAAAACAAAAACAAAAAACAAAACTCACTGCTCAAATGCTTAATTTGTAAATCCTTTAAATTTAATATCAGTTTCAATTTTAAAAAACAAAAACAAGGCTCACCATTCAGACATATTTTTCACTTACCTGCACTATTCTCTTCTGACATTACAGTGTGGCAGAGAGCAAGTACCCTAAGGAATTCATGAACTTTGGGATCACCCATTTTAATGGATTCCATCAGATTGTAGTCAAAGAACTGAAATTCTCTATCCACTTGAGATTTGACTAAGAAATCCACAGGCTCCTTTTCCTGTAGGAGAAGAACAACAACAAAAATAACCATAAACCTGATTCCAACAATTATTTTTTAAAATTCAAAAATAGTTCCCCCAAGTACTTTTAGTGTATGATTTTGCAGCCTCAAATGTCTGGCACTAAAATGGCTGTTTCATCATTACTGTTAAATATAATCTTCTCATTTCAGAACCATGTACCAAAGAAGTGAACTTTCCGAAAGTATATGGGAAAGAAAATCACAAAAGTATATGGGATGGCTGGACAGATCCTCAAATGCTCAATACAACTTCAAAATACAAAAAAGCACAGAAAATGCAAAGTTTTTTCAAAACCTACTTGATGGGAAAACCTGATCTGACTTGAACCCATTTGTGCAGCAATATCTGACCTGGAATGGTATGTATTTAATGATGGCTTCTTAAAGCCTACCTAATACTTGTGAATTAATATTTTCTAATATAAAGACATGAATGTGTTTGATTACAGGGTACTTTCTCAGATGTCACTGGAGATATTACATAATAAAATGGCAGACACCATATTGTCATTCTGCAACCAGAAAATTCTGAATTTCTACATACATCTGGCTCCAAAGTTTTGGATAAGGGACTGTGAGCCCGTATCTATTTCAGGAGTAAGCCTACAGAAAGTTCCACTCTGAATACTTATATATAAGAGCTTTATCAGCTGCAGAGTCCACCTTTCCTCCCCCGGGATTATTGCTAAAGTTTTTATTCTTAAAGGCTCCGTTAACTTTTGCAATTGATTCTAAAGTTATAGGAGCAGATAGGATTGTAACTATTTTTTTAAAGAGAAACAATGCTGTGAGCAATTGAAATTATCCATTCTGTGTCACAAAGCTTGTTAATACCTACAGTAAAATTGGAGCCACATGTAGGTCCTTTGTTCCTTGAAATCAAATTTATTCTAAAACTAATAATACTGAATAAAATAAGAAATATTTATTATTATCTTTATAATAGGCCCAACATTATGCTAAGAGTTTTATATGGAATATTACATAGAATCTTCCTAACAACGATGTGTAGTGGATACTATTGTCATCCCCATTTTATAGATAAGAACCTGAGCATTGCCAAGGCCAACCATATACATCCATGAGCCAGGACTCAAACTTAGCCAAAAATCCATGCTTCAAATACTTTGTCATAACAACACCTAATATAATTCTGGATTATTTCCCTGCCCCCTTACTAATACAATAATGGCTGTCATGTATCAAGTGTTTACATTATACTAGTTTCTTTTTTATTTAAGTACTTTTTTTTTTTTTTTTTTTTGAGACGGAGTCTCGCTCTGTCGCCCAGGCTGCAGTGCAGTGGCCAGATCTCGGCTCACTGCAAGCTCCGCCTCTCGGGTTTACGCCATTCTCCTGCCTCAGCCTCCCGAGTAGCTGGGACTACAGGCGCCCACCACCACGCCCGGCTAGTTTTTTGTAATTTTTTTTTAAGTAGAGATGGGGTTTCATCGCGTTAGCCAGGATGGTCTCAATCTCCTGACCTCGTGATCCGCCTCTCTCTGCCTCCCAAAGTGCTGGGATTACAGGCTTGAGCCACCGTGCCCGGCCTTATTTAAGTACTTTTAATGTTTACTTTATTATTATTATCATACTTTAGGTTCTAGGGTACATGTGCACAATGTGCCGGTTTATTACATATGTATACATGTGCCATGTTGGTGTGCTGCACCTGTTAACTTGTCATTTACATTAGGTATATCTCCTAATGCTATCCTTCCCCACTCACCCACACCCAATGGACACCGCCCCCAGTGTGTGATGTTCCCCACCCCTGTGTCCAAGCGTGATTCTCATTGTTTCATTCCACCTATAGTGAGTGGAGAACATACAGTTTGGTTTTCTGTCCTTGTGACAGTTTGCGTCAGAATGATGGGTTTCCAGACTTCATCCTATGTTCCTACAAAGGCACATGAACTCATCCTTTTTATAGATATATCCATGTGTAATATGTGCCACATTATTCTATAATCCGGAGATCATCATTGAGGGACATTTGGGGTTGGTTCCTAGTCTTTGCTATTGTGAATAGTGCCACAATAAACATACGTGTGCCATGATGTTTTCTTATAGCAGCAATGATTTATAAATCCTTTGGGGTGTATTCCCAGTAAACTAGGATAGGGGCTGGGTCAAATGGTATTTCTAGTTCTAGATCCCTTAGAGGATATCGCCCATACTGCTCCTTCCACAATGGTTGAACTAGGTTTACAGTCCATTAAACAGTGTAAAAGTGTTTCCTATTTCTACCACATTCCTCATCCAGACCTGTTGTGTCCTGACTTGTTTAATGATCAGCCATTCTAACTGGTGGTGAGATTGGTATCTCATTGGTGTCTTTATTGATTGCTTATTATATAGCACCTGGACGTCGTGATCAATGCAGACATTTTCTCCACGTGATCTGTCTAGGCTGCAATAAAATGTACATTACATTTAATGAGAAGTGTCATGATTCAATATTCTTTGTCACTTTTTGATGGGGTTGTATTGATTCTTTCTTAGTACACTTTGTATTAGGTTCCTTTGTAGAGTTCTGAATATTAGCCCTTTGTCAGGAAATGGGTTAGATTGTAAAACTTTATTTTCCATTCTGTAGGTTTGCCTGTTCACTCTAATGGTAGTTTCTTTTAGCTATGCAGAAGCTTTTTGTCTTTTTAGTTAATTAGATACCACTTGTCAACTGTTGGCTTTTGGTTTGCCATTTGCTGTTCTGGATGTTTTAGTACATGAAGTCCTTGCCCCATGTCTATGGTCTGAATTGTATTGCCTAGGATTTCTTCTACTGGTTTTTATGGTTTTTAGGGTCTAACATTTAAGTCCTTTAATCCATCCTTGAATTAAATTTTTGTATAAGCGTGTAAGGAGAGGGATCCAGTTTGCGCTTTCTACATGTGCTAGCCAGTTTTCCAGGCACAGGATTTATTTAAACAGGGAATACCTTTCCCCATATTCTTGTTTTTGTCAGGTTTGTCAAAGGATCAGATGATTGTAGTGTGTGGGGGTATTTTTTCTGGAGGCTCTGATTCTTTCAATTTGATCTATAATCTCTGTTAGGTACACAGTACCATGCTGTTTTGGTTACTGTAGCCTTGTAGTATAGTTTGAAGTCAGGTAGCATGATGCCTCCAGCTTTGTTCTTTTGCCTTAGGATTGTCTTGGCAGTGCAGACTCTTTTTTGGTACCATATGAACTTTAAAGTAGTTTTTTTCCAATTCTGTGAAGAAAGTCATTGGTAGCTTGAGATGGGGATGACACTGAATCTATAAATTACCTTAGGCAGTATGGCCATTTTCACAATATTGATTCTTCCTATGCATGAACATGGAATGTTCTTCCATTTATTTGTGCCCTCTTTTATTTTGTTGAGCAGTGGTTTGTAGTCCTCCTTGAAGAGGTCCTTCACATCCCTTGTAAGTTGGATTCCTAGGTATTTTATTCTCTTTGAAGCAATTGTGAATGGGAGTTCACTCATGATTTTGCTCTCTGTTTGACTATTATTCTTGTATAGGAATGCTTGTGATTTTTGCACATTGATTTTGCATCCTGAGACTTTGCTGAAGTTGCTTATCAGCATAAGGAGATTTTGGGCGGAGACGATGGGGTTTTCTAAATATACAAACATGTCACCTGCAAACAGAGACAATTTGACTTCCTCTTTTCCTAATTATTTCTTTCTCTTGCCTGATTGCCTTTGCCAGAACTTCTAACGCTATGTTTAATAGGAGTGATGAGAGAGGGTATCCCTGTCTTGTGCTTTCAAAGGGAATGCTTCCAGTTTTTGCCCATTCAGTATGATATTGCCTGTGGGTCTGTCATAAATAGCTCTTATTATTTTGAGATACGTCTCCTCAATACCTAGTTTATTGAGAGTTTTTAGCATGAAGGGCTGTTGAATTCTGTCGAAGGCCTTTTCGGCATCTATTGAGATAATCATGTGGTTTTTGTCTTTGGTTCTGTTTACATGATGGATCACGTTTATTGATTTGCATATGTTGAACAAGTCTTGCATCCCAGGGATGAAACCAACTTGATCGTGGTGGATAAGCTTTTTGATGTGCTGCTGGATTCAGTTTGCCAGTATTTTATTTGAGGATTTTTGTATCGATGTTCTTCAGGTATATTGATCTAAAATTCTCTTTTTTGGTTGTCTCTCTGCCAGGCTTTGGTATTAGGATGATATTGGCCTCATAAAATGAATTAGGGAGGATTCCCTCTTTTTCTATTGATTGGAGTAGTTTCAGAAGGAATGATACCAGCTCCTGTTTGTACCTCTGGTAGAATTTGGCTGAGAATCCATCTGGTCCTAGACTTTTTTTGGTTGGTAGGCTTTTAATTATTGCCTCAATTTAAGAACCTGTTATTGGTCTATTCAGGGATTCAAATTCTTCCTGGTTTAGTCTTGGGAGGGTGTATGTGTCCAGGAATTTATCCATTTCTTCTAGATTTTCTAGTTTATTTGCATAGAGGTGTTTATAGTATTCTCTCTGAATTGGTGGTTTGGTATTCTCTCGTGGGGTCGTGGGATATCCCCTTTATCATCTTTTTATTGCGCATCTATTGAGTTCTTCTCTCTTTTCTTCTTTAATTAGTCTTGCTAGCAGTTATCATTTTGTTATCTTTTCAAAAAACCAGCTTCTCTTGGTTCATTGATTTTCTTGAAAGGATTTTTGGTGTCTCTATCCTCCTTCAGTTCTGCTCTGATCTTAGTTATTTCTCGCCTTCTGCTGGCTTTTGAATGTGTTTGCTCTTGCTTTCTCTAGTTCTTTTAATTGCGATGAGTTAGATGTGTCAATTTTAGATCTTTTCCATGAACTTTCTCTTGTGGGCATTTAGTGCTATAAATTTCCCTTACACACTGCTTTAACTCTGTCCCAAAGAAGATATACTGGTATGATTATGTCCTTACTTCTCATTGGTTTCAAAGAACATCTTTATTCTGCCTTCATTTTGTTATGTACCCAGTGGACATTCAG